AAACTTAGAGCCTCAAAATATATAATTAATAGAATCTGTAGCGAGGTGATGTGTGAAATATTTTTTCTTTTATTCGTTTTCAAGTCATAATAGTCATCTCAAACACGCCTAAACAAAAAAAGGTGTACTCGACTTTCTCTTTTTGATGAAATTATTGCCCATTTTCGGGATTTTTTCCAAAAAAACTGTCGCCGCGGGCAGAGATGAAAATTACTGCTTTAAAAGGGTCAATCTGTTATCTTTCTTTGGAATTTTTTCGGCGGAATTCATGCTTATGCACAAAAAAGATCCAACTGTATTTGCACCTACCACAATCGACTGTTTTGTGAAAATTTTTCTTTTATTTAAAAGTTTACAAATATCTCGAAAGTCCATACTATAATTCATGTAAAAACACGTATGTAAGATGCAAAAAAAACTAAATTATGCACCTTTATTAAACTTTTAAAGCCCATAGAAACAGATGTAAACAATTAAAATTTTGCTTTTTTACCTTCTCTAACAAAGAGTTCCATTTCTTTTGTTTAATTTCAACTGGGTTTCCGCCTGATATTTCAAACTACACGTAAACATCGATGATCGATTTCATGGATCAACGCTCTCGGCAAATTAAAAACTCTTGCACCAATTATTTAAGTGGTCCGAATGTGGCCAGCTGTTGCAAGTCTAAATTTTTGTCCTTATTCAATGTACCCTCATTTTCCAGTGGCATTTTAAAGTTTCACGTCCAACCTCACTGTTGACCTCCTATTGCACGACCTACCCATTGTATTTAGATATATTTGTTATAGTGATGAACATGCATGAAATATTTGCCACTGGACGTAAAGCAAACAAAAATCAATCAACTTCATAAATTGTTCCATGTACTTAGCACACAAAGACAAGATCTTACAAAATGCTATGATGTACAATTTCCATTTAAATTTTTATGGTTTTTTTTTTTTGGGGGGGGGGGGTTTCTTCAATTTATTACATTACTGACTGCTTATAAAAAAGTTTTAAATACTTTTTTACTATGCTTCTTATCTAATGTTTTAATACGATTTATAACATATGATTTTTTGTCAGGCAAGGATCAAACTAAGAAATGTAAAAGTTTTTTCAGGTGTTTTTGCTTCATTTAGACAAGAAAAGGGAATAACGGACGACTAAATTAAAAGAGTTTGTTTTCATATAATACATTGAACCTGCGAAAATATCTCAACTCAACACGTTTTGATCTGACCAGTGAAACCTAGTTGATGCTATATATGTTACAATTAGGTTTTTTAATACGATTTTATTCATTGAAGTTTGCATGCATAGTTTTTATTTTTAAAAAAATAATTAATTGGACTGAACAGACAACACTAATTATTTTGCATTCGCATGTAACGTAGTGTTAGAAAATTACAGAATTAAAAAAAAAATGAACATTTACCGGATGAATATTGTGAAGGGCCTTATACATGTAGGTCTGTTCGATTAGAAGTTCTGAAACAAGCAGTTTAAAAAAGTTAATTGTCGGAAGAATTAACTTACTGTTTTCTAAGATCTGGTCTTTACGAATCTATTTCATGATTACTGACAGATTAAAAACATCAAATATATATAACAAGACGTTGTTGTGCAGAATATTCATTGGTCAGTTATAAATGAGGTCTGTATAGGGTTTTGATTGCCTCATTTATTAAATAAGAAATCGTTATTTCGAAAAGTTGGATTCAAAAATATGAATTTACCCCCTAAGTTTGTAAAACTATCATTTGGTGTTATTTTAATGCTAACAAATTTATAATAAATAAATAATTAAATGATGTACTGCCATTTAATCGGTCCGTTTCCATTGCAATTTGGTAACTGTTAATCGTACATATCAGTCTGAGTACTGTTTAACTATCAATTAAGTTGAACATCTTTAGACTCGTCCAATTCAGGGGAATAAGGTTTCTGCAAGTGCTTTTTGTGTACTTTTTTTACGTTTTTGACGGTTTGTAAGTCAGTAAAAGTTCAATGATTAAGTTAATATTGACATTAAAAGACCTCCTCACAAAAAGGGCTGTTCAAATCCCCTCGCCCTTTGGGCTCGGGGATCTGAACATCCCTTTTTGTTCGGAGGTCTTTTAATATCAATATTAACTTATCATTGAACTTTTACTATAACTAAAAGACGCTAAAAAAAAGTGAAAAAGCTAAATGAAGTACGAAGTTGTAAAGCATTGAGGACCTCAAAGTCTGAAAGGTTTTGTCAAAAACAGTCTCGGTTATCTATTCCTGGGGTAGACAATCCTTAGTATATCAAAAATATTTAAAAAGTTTTATAAGCAGTTGACTGTTAGCAATTCAGTTCCACGTTTACAATCAGACAGATTGGTATTCTTGGAAACAAATGACTTTTGTTCTTTTTGTATAATTTGTAGTTAAATGTTTTGAAATATCAGGAATACAAACGTTTGTGCATAATATAGAACTCATGGAAATGGTAATATCCCAATTAGACTTATGGAAATTTAGAACTTGACATGTCATAAAAAAATTAGCACAAGACTAAATTCTGCCATTTAAATGTCATTTTAGATTTTTAAGCTACAATGTATGCATCCGTTATGATTTATGAATTCAGAAAGTTGTTGCAATGCAAATTATATATGGAGCATTTTTTACTTCTAGAGATGCAATTCATTAAATTTGAAAAAATCATTTGTATCAAAGTAGAATATACTTTAAACATCCAGAAAAATGGAAATTATACACATTTCTTGTCATTTTTGAAGACCTGTGCAAATGATTTTGTTAAAAAATTTAGTTAATTGCTATGAACTTTCATTTTTTAATGCTACACAATTCTTTATAGATCTCGATATATTGAGTGTAAGCATTAAATTAACGTGACTGGGTAACGCTTTGAAATCTCAGGTTCTCGAAATCGTTCACACTATAATGATTTTGACAGCAAACACGACTGAGGTAAAATATCATATTTAAATCGAAATGATCACATCAAAACATTTTGTTTGACAAAATTCTGGAGACGGAATTGGGAGAAACCACAAGTGAATTTGTTGAACTTTAGCCAGTCTTCAATAACATTTAGAGCTATCTATACCCGAAATTTAAAATGATTTCAAAAAATTTTTTTAAAGAGTTTTATAGATTTACATATTTAAAAAACTTCCTTAGGAAAAGGAATTCAGCCACAATGACGTCATAGGTCAGTATATAATTACAACATGTCGTAGAGGTGTCTGATCCTTGAAAAATTGTGACAATTTTTAACAAAAAATTCGTCAATTGTTTGTAAAGTATTCGTACAATAAATCATTCAAAAAAGTATATATATGCCTTGTATGTGTGAAATTAATTAATTTGACATTTTCTTTTTTTCAAACTTTTGATATGTGTATTTCGCAATGAGTGATATTGATTTCGTTGGGTGATGATACATTTAAATTTATAATCTAGTCATAAAGTCATGTGGAATGAGGAATGTATTAGACCAAACCCTTTAAAAACACACCTAAAACACTTTAAATTTTTATCAACAATATGCTATAGCATTATTTTGTAAAAAAGTATTTAAATCAAACAATGACCATAGTTAAGTACAAACTATAATGTTATAATCCTTTACAATGTATCGAAAAGGCATTCGTTATCAACATGGGTGTTTTGTTTCAAGTCTTATAGTAACTTTGAAATACCATTATTGGAATTTTGTTGTATATCAATATCACCTAATGTATACATATTAATAAACCTATGTTTTAATAATGATATTACAAAATTCTTTTTTAAATCCCCATAATCTACAATAGTAATACTTCGTGCTGATTTAGTAAGCACAATATACTTTTTCTCGTTTATTCCGTATCATGTACGCTGGGGACTAAAACTTAGGAAGCAAAGTCAAAGATTGTTTATGAGAATCAAAACTAAATGTTTCTTAAATACCGCAGCTTTAACCGTTCAGCGTCAACATTGCCTGATTTACAACCGTAATTTAGTACAATTACAGTAAATAAACGACAAATTCTGTTAAATTGTATCATTCAATCGTACAATTACCCAGGCATAGTCTACTTTGTGGAGGATTTTTCTAGGGCTCAGGGACTAAGAGTTACTTAGCAGCGATATCCTCTAAGTGTTAGCGATAAAGGAATGAAACAGTTTATACAAGATATCGTTGTCACTTCTTTTATTAATTATTTTTACACTATATAACAACAGGGAAAAGTGGAAAAGATAAAAACAATCAAACATTCAAAAACTACTTATTAACAAAATCACCATGACCCAAAATCAACAACCAAATGACAGTCTTCGAACTACTACATACTAAGCTTGAAAGGTCTCTGCTTATTTTGTATAACAAAATGTGAAACTTAAAAAAGAGAAGACCAGTGGCTAGAATTAAGGTTAACGTATCTAATGAATAAATAAACAATGTTGGCAGACAGTAATCAACCATAACCACTCGACTACAGGCTTCTTAATTTGAGCAGGCACATGCATAATTTAGTGGGGTTAAACATGTGTATGAGCGTAAATTCTCCTAAAACATAGGAAAGTGGTGTAACAGCACAACATTAGAACAAACTGAAACAAATAGTTAAAACAGTACCAGACCGTTACTACGCATAAATAACAACTTACCACAAGCAGTACTTGCATTTTTTAGTTAAAACCCAATTTTTGTTCATAAAGATATTAAAGTTTTTTCTGACATGTCGATCAGTATACGTTCAACAGAACAATTGTAACATGTGTAACGAATATAGTAAGCAGTCTTGGAAAAGCATAACCTTGTACAATGACATAATATAAGTATCGACAGTATGCAGGTCAACAAGTGTTTATAATTGACTAGGAATATATGTTCAAAAACTATTGAAAACAAAATAAATGTTACAACTGATAACGGCAATAATCTAAATTCAAAGAAGATTACAGATTACAAAATTTACGTATACACTATATAATTTGTTTTTCATGAGATGGGGGAAAATGTTTTTTATTACCTCTTAAAAAAATCGTTGATGTCCAACTGCATCACTGTCAAAACAATGACAATCCTTTTACAAAGATAACTTCGTTACTTCCTCATTCCTTGTTCATTGAAGCGTTTTGCTTAAAGTGCCATATCAGCCTAAATGTTGAAATATTTTTTTATAGTTTTACTTCTTTCAAATAAATTTAGTAATCGATTGAAAAAAACCTGATTTCAAAATCGATTTTATCGATGGGCAATTTCCGGAGAGTAGCGAAGAAGTCTGACGTCACATTCTGAACACATGTGCTTCCTTTTATTAGCTCTATTTTAATATTTAACTATATATAGACTATATCTATAGCTAACATAAATGAAATGGTTAGATTGTGAAAATATCTAATGAAACTTAATACTTAACAGTGCAATTTAATTCAAAATAATGTGTTCCTTGTTTCCATCAAGGCAATGGCTTGCATCAATGCATTTTAATGAAAACAGCAATCGGGACCATGCTTACACACAGGATGGTAAAGCAAGATACAGGATTGTGTATCCTAAATACAAAAAAGGAGAGCACACTGTAAGAAAAAATCCCAGTCGATCCCACATATGGTAAGCATTTAAACTAGAGCCTGTGTTCCTCACCTGTATCTACTGTGGTTTTGAAAATCATGTAAAATAAGATTAAAATCATAATAAATTGTATTCGATTTTTGGAACAACCTTCAAAATAAATTTGGGCAGGGGTTTCCCTGAACCCGGCTAACGTGCCAGGTCTGGTTGGAGGGGGGGGGGGGGGGGGGGGGGGTGGCATTCACCCAATATAAGTATGCTTAAAGAAAAGTATAATAATGGTTTATTGAAAAGTGACGCTGAATAATTCTGAAATTGAACATATCAAACAGAAATTTTTAGCAACCCGCCCCCTGAAGAAATTGCCATCCCCTTGAAAAAAAAATAAGCATCCCATTGTAGTCTTACAATAGTAACTTCAGACCCCTTATCATTATTTTAATAAGTTTTCATGTTGTGACCATTTGAAATTCTAGGTAAACCCCGATGTTCTATTTTGAGCCATCTTGGTTGGTGGGCGGGGTCATCGGATACAATATTTAAAATAAGGATGATTTAGGCCAATTTGATTTAATTTGGATTAGTAGTTTCAGAGGAGAAGATTTTTGTAAAAGTTAACGGACAACCTTTTAACTGCATGTAATAAAACGAGAGGATAAAATTGTTATGTTTAATTAATAAAGGTACAATAGCTAGCAGTAGTTCATTGTTTGTTAATGATTTTGTTCTGACAGCAAAACCTCAATTAAAAATTCAGTAAGGTCACTTCTTTCAAGCTCTGTTTTTTTTCAGAATATGTAGAGTGTCTGATGAAGACAGTTTTCAACATTGCAAAAGTCTCGCACATGAACACGGAAGGTATTCAACTACTGATATACGTTCCACCTCCACTTTGTAGCCAGTATGAGAGACCGGACAAAGAACATGCCATACAAAGCCTTCTTGCAAGATTCAATCGCTGTCAGCCCCATGAAAACCAGTGTAGTTCTGGAGCAGATCAGGGAAGGCAGTTCCGGATCTTGAGTTCCACAGAAGAAGGAGTAACTACACGGACCTCCTTTCCTAGGAAATGCCAACACCACCGTACAAATTGTCTATATGCTGTATAATGATTTCTCCTGAAATAATGAAATATCTTCTTTTAATAATATTCAGCAGCAAATATTTCAAGCATATATAGGATAAGATCAGTTACCAAATTTGCTATTTTCATACATTTTTATGTATATTTACTTTAAAATAATAAATGGGGAATATGTCCATGAGACACAGATGATGCCCCCGCTTGCATATAATAAAAAGTTATAAAGGGATATAACTGAAAAACGGTAAAAGTGACGCTACCTAAATTGGTACTTGATCTGAGTTTTGTGGTAATAAGTATTGTGTATAAGTTTCATAACATTTGGTTGAGGCAAACTTAAGTTGGAGAACGGAAACCAACTTTGGGACGTACAGACGGACAAGGATAAAACTTAATGCTCCCTCCGCTACGACGGGGCCATAAAAATGGGAAAATATGACATGATTGCCAATGAGACAACTCTCTTCAAATACAAAATATTTGCAATGTAAATAAAGTAACCATGTATAAAAAATAAAAAGAGGAAGTGTTGCGTTTGCCAATGAGACGACATGGTACGTTTGCCATCCGAGCATGAGTCAAGACTAATTAGATATAAGAAGATGTGGTATAAACATAATTAATTTAAGCAATTATAGGTAATGAGCTTGCAGTACTGCCTTCATCAGAGAGCATTGACTCACGTTATGAAAATAGATTTTTTTTTTAAATCAAATACAAATTTTGATGTTAAAATACACGACTGAATTCCTTACTCATTTCCATGATCAGGGTGCTATCCATATTGTTGCCTGTACTGTTAGTATGCAACTTTTAATACATGTATATCAAGACACACTGGATGAAACCATGGATGGTCTGTTATACATGCTGTATCAGGGTGTTCATTTTTCACGTCAACAATTTTTGAAACTTCACAACAGCAGACACACTCTCTTGCGAACGGCAAAACTGCACAATGTCCACAATTACACCTTAAAGAAAGCAACAGAAATTTTATGTTTTAATTTTTTTATATTTTATTTGATATTTTTGGGCAAAATAAAAATATCCAAGATGCAAAAACATGAACATATATGTTCAGTTTGATTGATTTATACATTATATTTGAAGATTCGAAGAAAGTTTCATTCGTTATGAATAGAGTTGTAGATACATTTGGATTCCTAATAATAAAGCAATGAGTTCTATTTATATGTTTGAAAGAAGAAACCACAAAAATAAATTAAATGTTAGCTATTGCTTCCCTTCATGTTATAATGCTGTATGTTTGTGCTTTGATCAATGATTTAAACTCAGTATGGCAGATGTGTGAGAGGGTGAATGGAAGTTACATTGAATTCAGTCTGTATTTGTTGTTATTTATATGCCTGTTTTGGGCCTTGTGATAAGAATAATAAAATTATTTGAATTTATTCTGTACAAATGTACCCCTTCAGAGCCTTGATCCATACTGCTAGTGCTAGCAAAAACAGTATATACAGTAAAGTAAGGGTCATCATGTGTAAGAATATATACAATTGTGGGATATGTATTTGGTAAACAGGAAATTGTTGAATGTTGAGTTATGTATCAGAAAAAGAATCAAACAGTAAAGCATGCACATATGAAGCTTGATTTTAAATTTCAGGTAGCCTCATGAGAAAAATGTAACAAAAAAATCAATAAACAGACCCCTCCCCCTAAAAAATAACGTCCTACTTTGACTTTACATCTTTCCTATTGAGTTTCGGTTATAGCAATGAAATATGTTAACTTTTTTATTTTTTTTAAGGTGAAGTTTAATGTTAGGCGTATGCCTAGGTGCAAAACATACTGGTAGGTACCCCACCCCCTTCTCTTGCATTATTTTAGTTTATATTTATCCCTTTTATCCCGTTCGGCGTATAATTATATTTATCATTGATTAATTACCAAGAGTTGTCTGTCAATCTGTCTTCGTCTTCTCCGTCTTCTGGTTCAGACTCGTCAGAATTTGAGTTGTATGGTTCAAACTGATACGGGTTAATCTGCGCCCCTCTCATGGCACCAGTAGCTTCTACTAACGCGTCATCCGAACCTGAGCTCCCGTCTCCCCCAATTTCGAATTCCGATGAACCACAGGACAGAGACAATTCATTAGATTCACTTTCAGAACTGTCGTGGTCATCGTCTTGATGTTTTGAAATCGATATAGATGCAGATGCCATCGTTGTTCATATTCTTTGTTCATAATGTGACCCATTCTTTTCTTGGAAAACTGGAAGTTATTCAGACTGATACTCGGGACTGATGGCAGACAGGTGCGATGGGAATGTTTAATGGGATATTAAATGCTTATTACTTAACATTTTTCGCTCGGGTTTTTTTTTTCTATCGTTTTTAAATAATAAGTTCTTTAAATATTTCATATTTTAAAAAAAAATTTAAATTACGTTCATATGGCACTTTAAAATTTGTAAAGACTATATGGTTGCCAACATTTTCACAAAATTTTAATAAGATTAGGTAATTGATATGTTTCTATAAATATAGAGAAAACTATACATCTGTATGTTATGATTTTTATGATAATATAATTGTAACTTTTGTGGGTAACTTAAATGAGTTATTTGATTCTATATAATTGTTTTAAGGGGGGTGTAGCTATGATAAGATTCATTAATTTCGACCATGTATTTGCAAAAGAATATAAAATTTCTTGACTACTTTCACAGTTAAAAATATATTTATTGAGAACTAGATCCATATAGTAAACTGAGTTATCAATGTACTCTGAAGTGAAAAGTCCACTTCTCTTCTCACGTTAAAATCTAAGATAACGTAAATTTCAATTTTCTCCCTTACAACATCCGCAATGCCACATTTGGGTTTTGGATCGGTATCATACAGTGACGGCACATTTTGTCTCTTTGGGCTAGATAAGTCAGTAAAAATCGTCAAATATCTAATCATTTATGCCGTGTCGTAAATAAAAAGTATCGCATGGAAAGTACAGATTTCAGAGGTGTTCAAAGAATAAAGTTTGCTTAGTATGTACATGGAAGTATTATATTGACAGGAACTCCAACGAAAAATTAGCACATTTCCATCCCACTGATTTCTTGAAGAAAATAAAAGGTTCCGACTCAGTTTGTCAAGTACGTGATAACTCCTTTGTGGGGTATGTGCGATGCCGCTTTCGCCTGTTCTGTTAACTGAAGCTGGTCTTATCACGTGATTTGGTATCGAGTGTCTTATCTACCTACCAATGTAAATAAAAACGGAAACTCCCGTGGTTATTTGTGAATCGCCAAACTAATAACGACACCTGTTTCCGTTCAATAAATAAAGACAAAAGCTGAAAAGATCGAAAAAATCGGTCCATATTTAACAGAATGACATAAGAAAATTAACTGCATTCGGAAAGAGGGCAAGCTTATTTTTAGTTTTGTTTAATAAGTTTTAATCATTGAAACTTGGAAATCGGGAAATATCCGGTATTAAAAATTACATGTACTTAAAGTCGGGTGTTTGCGGAAAACAACGTGATGCACGTGTAGTGTGCCGGATGGTGCCGGATTGCTTAAATTTAAGTTTTAAGGTTGTTAATTTTTATCGAATGTTACAAGAAAATTTAT